ATGTGTAAATAAAATAATACAGGGATCGATCCAGCATGATCTGGTAGGGGGCTGCTCTGCAAGCTCTGCGCCGAGTGGTGCCGCCAGTTCGATAATTGGGGGGGGGGGGCGAATATTCATATATTTGTGTTCACAGAGCATAAAAACAATCAATTTCAAAAGAAGTTAATAATGCAGAACACGAAGATATGAATATTCGCCCCGCCCCCCCCCCAATTATCGAGCTGGCGGCGCCACTGAAGCTCTGGTGGAGAGTTGTGTCGGTCATGTGTGCCACTCGCCCATCAACATACTACATTTGAATTTGAATTGTTGTTCACAGTTTGCTTATCATTGATGTTATTGCTCAAATTACTGTATCTCATTTTGTCTATTATTTTTTGCTTTATCATGAAAAAAGCACCCCCTTCACCCTCTCCCGTCAGGGCTTGGAGGGTGCACCCCCCTCTAGTAAATCTGCAACTTGCAATGCAATTTCTGATAAAAGGTGATGTGATTTAAAAATAAGTCACAGGGAAATTGTGAGCATAGACAACAGTTTACACTACTTTTATTTTTTATCCCATTTTCATCCATTAAAAACATGTTATATTGTAAAGAAGGTGTCAGCAGAACAAAATGCTTGCCATGTTCAATTATGTCACTATTTTATCTGGCAGGTTATGACATGCTTGATCAATGTTATTATTGACAATGGTTGCTTGTCCATGTGTTTTGCCTTGAAGCTGCTAATTGTACAATGTAAACCATGCTGTTCACACTTTCTAGGATGCAGCAACTTAGTCTCCATCTCAGACATGCAAAATAGCACCTAGTTTCTTGCATAGAAATCCTGACAATTCAACATCTTCATTTGGATTAAAAAAATTAAAAAATTATTATTATAATCATCTACCATGTTATTGTTTAACTGCTGGATTGTACAATGCAATTCACACCATGCAGGTACTGGACACTAGTGCACACATGAAACAAGACATAGTATAGTAAGCAGGGGCATCGCTAAGGCATCAACATTGGGGGGGGGTGTCGTCATGTTTTGATCAATATTTAATAAAATTTTGACCAAGTCGTAAACCCGGAAATGTTGTCGACAGGGGGTAAAAAAATTTTCCAGACTAATATAAGCATATTTATAAATTTTTCGACCAAAATAAGCAAGGCTTGCCAATATTTAACCACAATTTACCAACTTTGACCTTAAATTTTAAGCAAATATTAGTTCCATTTTGACAAACTTTGAGCAAATACCAGTTCCATTTTGACCAACTTTGACCAACGTTTCAATTATTGGGGGGGGGGGTTACACCCCCCCTCACACACACCCCGGTAGCGACGTCCCTGATAGTTAATATAGTAAGTGAACCCAGCTAATTTTAGACTTCAGACAGTGGCGTTGCTTCACTGATTGGCATACTCGGCCAATCTGACAACCAAACACCAGACCAAGGCTTTTTCACTCAAATCAATCTGGCTCTTGCCTTGGTTTCAATTAATAATGGGTCCACAATTATCAAGCTGAAATATATTTTATCTTTTTACATTTCTACACATCATATGTAGGATAATTTTGTCCTGCTTCTAACAACCATGAACAGACAGATCGAACTAACTGTACATGATAATTGTACTATTTTAAAAACAGGAAACAACTATAATTGATCCAAAAATATATTATATGAAATTAAATGCATTTCATTGTGATGTTAACACAAAGTCTATCTTTATAGTGCTTAAAAGATTACAACAAGATTTCTATTTCTATCTACAGCTTATACAAAAATATACGTCAACCTTGATTTTTACAGATATACAAAAATATATGTCAACTGACAACATGTAAATTATTTGATGACAATTTTAATTTCCGGGTTAAGATTCTTTCAATTGTCCACAAAAGCTGTATTCTTAATCGTTTAGCCGCCTTTAGCGAGCGTATTAACTATAAATTCACTAATTTTCATAATTCTTCACTCCATGCAATCCGCCATCTTGGATGACAAATCCTCCCCCACGTGCATACCCTAGAGACGAAATCGCTGCGCAAGCAAGATGCGCAGAACGGCTCAACCATGTCGGGTTTTGGCAGGCATCTCACCTTTCGCATCTCATCTCGACTTTCTGAAGTACGTGAACTACGAGATGCCTGCGGAGGAGGCTAGTTTCAGCCGTTATATAATATTAATGGAGTCCAATAATACAGATTGGAGTTCAATAATAGGGATTACTTATAATTAAAAAAACTCATTAATAATTCATGAGGGAAATTGACAAATTAAAGTAATCACTGCCGTGTCTTTGGTTTTATACATATGTAATAAAAAATCATGTTTATTTACATAAATTTAGCTTTGATTTTCTCGGCATAGACAATGTTTAGTTTTAAAATCACTTCGCCAACTAACTCATCAGATGGGTTGTTTTTAAACCATTTAAAACATTCGCAGATCGTGTTTTGTCAGATATAAAACACTCGAGCTGCGCTCTCGGCTGATAACTCCACAGTTCAAATGTATGTGATTCGTATACGCTCAGAGCTGTGGAGAAATTTCGCAGGGCCCGTCACTATGAACGTATATATAAATCAGCGCCGTAGGAAACTTTTTTATTGGGGGAGGGTGGCTGTAAACGAGGGCCGAAGGCCCGAGGAAATTTTTAAATTTAGAGTCTCTGAAATGTCATTTCCTGGACTTTGGGGAAGATTTGACAGATTTCTGGTGGTCAGAAAACAGCGTTTCAGTAGGTCGAAATTTACAATTTGTTTATAATTTAGTAGTACTAAACGGAAGGCGTATTTAATTAACTATATATTGGATAAGTTGCAGGAAAGTATGGGTATTAATGGGTATTCATTCTTTGCAGCTTGTCATGGAAAATCTAGCCGCTTAAATTTAATCAATTGTCCGTGTTTTAAAGACATATTACTTAAATGATAACGGTCTGCATGATTTTGAAAAAAATAATGATTATTAGTAAATTATTGGGGGGCCGGCCCTAAGGTCTAAATCTTTGCTATATGAAACGCAAAATGTAACGCATGCCGTAAGATCGATTTTATAGTACTTATTGGCCATATATTTGATCGAAACATCAAAGCTTCTCAACTTTACCGATAACAACTGTATATGTTATCCAACTGCATAACATAGTTCTCCGAAGCGTGCGAAGATTGCATGGTGTCACTGATATCAAAATACCAGTTTATATGAACTTTTCCTCAACATGAACATCAAAATGATGATGCCACTTCCTAAATTGCAACTACACAAACAAATTTAGGGACCATTTATTATTTATGCCTTGGAGTGACACCGAAGAGAAATGAGGTAAGTTTCCACTCACTTCAAGGATCATGGGTAAAATGAATTAAAGCGTCTTTCATTAAGTACAAAGTATAAATTGTATAGGTAAAGGATTAAAGGAAATAACCCAAGGCCGTTGACTATGAAACCACGATAATGCTTTAATGTAATTAATATTCGAGCTAGAATACGTTTCAGACAATAATAGCACAGAGAAGAGATATACAGAGAGGAAACTGACACTCGATAACCTCAATTTTTGTGTCACGCGTTCCACGCGCAACGCAAAACCTTCCAGCCAGTGCCGTCGCTGAAATTTCATAGCAAAAGCTAGGGAAAACGCCGTTCGAAAGGTGAAAATCGCTTTTTATTTAAAAATGAGATACCCATGGAAGTTTTGTTCAATAAATTATTGTACAATAACGGTAAGCGATCACTTTCATGGATTTCTTTTTATTAAAAGTGTTAACATAACATTTTATTTTGCAAAAGTTTGTTTTTTCCCTATCTACTCCTTATTAAAATCGTGAAAAGCACTGGCTGGGAATTTCAGATGCTTATGTATAAAAAACAATCAAATGATATAAATTCCTCAAAATATAATTCTTGCATATAAAAACATGAATACTTGTATAATATGTATAGTTTTTTCCTCTGCATGGTCAAAATTTAATAAAATAGTGAATTAATATAATTTTCTATAGTTTATAGACTGAATATATCGGCGTGACACAATTTGCCGCATGTTTCCTCTCGGTATATCTCTTCTCTGTGATAATAATGAGGGAACCCAGAACTTTAAAAATGTTAATAATGGCTGTAAGCTCAAGGGCAAACTAATTTTATAGCTGCAAAAATTTTCTCATTTTTCCGATTTTTAGGTTATTCAGAGCGAGCTTCAACGTTCTAAATACTTGAGAGAATCTTGATTTTGATGCGCGCAATGCATTATCCTAAAATTTATGAGAGTGTTGTTTATACGACGAGTAGCATTTATATAAAATATTGAATTTAGTACATGATCGGGGAAGAGATTTGGGACCTCAAAATGGTTGGGTAAACAATTTTGTAAGTGCTAACTTGTATAGCATAAATAATGAACGATCCTCTAATTTATTATTTATTTCTCATAATTTTTTTCATCTGACTGCATGAGTCGATTACCTCTGGCTCCAAATATAGCGATTATTGTAATCTAATTTATGTTGATTAGACTGCAGAGTGTATAGGTGTAATCCTCCAAACAAGCCAACTTCTGGTAAATTGATATACCATTAAATGATGCTGTGTAATTTACTTATGCCGTGCACTTGAACTGATAGTCATGTATCAAAAAATATATTACATTTAAAGAATACAGATTGAAATCTAAGGTAAACCACATTGTCAAAATGGACATTGTTTTCTTGCAAACATTGTTTTCTTAAAATTTAAAATGAATGAAGACCTTTATTGTGGACGTAAGAAATTAACTTAATTTAAACAAATATTATTATACTAATATTTTTCCTATGTCATTCATATAATAAACACTATTTTGCCAAAGTATTTTATTGTCCATTCTATATAAACATCATCATTTCCATATGCAAACATGCTATAAAACGTCGCATAGAAAACCACAGAAAATTAAGAATTAATTTGGCCATTGTTTATTAGTATTGTATAAATAAGAAACGTTTTCACACAAAAATCAGCGACAAAATAGACATAGCATGTAGCAAATGTTGGTCGCGCACATGAGCATCAATTTCATAATGTCGCTTCTTAAGAAGAGATGGAAAAAGCGGAAACCAAATTTTCGCGCCATTTTCCACCAAGAGGACTTTCTACGGGAGAGTGATAGTTCCATTGAGAAGGCGGTGTTTTGGACATCGAATTTCCTGTCTGTTCCATCTTCGGGGAAGAGTTTACTCAACTTAAAAACGACACAAGAAAGATGTGTGAAGGAACAACTGAACAAGATGAAGATTGTTATAAATGTTGGGGGAGAAAGATTTGTTATCGCTTATAAAACAATCCGTCTTTACCCTGACACCTTGCTTGCAACACAAGAAATAGACAGACATTTTGATAAGAAAAGAAATGAATATTTCTTTGATCGTGACCCAGAAATGTTCAGGTAGAAAGATTTAATTATCTGTAATCATGCAATAAGAAAAAAATCAAATAGCTTGTTCGGGATTTATTGGCACTATTAACATCTAATTTACAGACATATTTCATGTTTATTTAATTGGCCATTTACTACTTCTTATCATAATAATAACACTCACTACAAACATCCAGATGACAAATTCTTTTTTGTGAATTCAATATGTCCGTGCATGTGTTTTATAAACTATAACGAGAAACGTAGACAGGCTTATTTATATTTCCATTTTTGATCAATCATAATTTAAAAAAAAGTTGATAGTCATATGATCACCTGGTGTAGCATTACTGTGGTTTTGGCTGCCGGTTATCGCGTTTGAATTTGGGCGTCGTTCCATAGCACTTTATCCCGAAAGATTCCTGCTGTTAAACAAAATAAGATAAGAACTGTGACGGCATCTACCGACATATCTATATTCTGTGGAGATATTTGATAAATTACGTTCAGATTATGGCTATCCAAATTTTACGACCCGTTGCGCCTGCGGTGCAGGCTACAGCTGCAGCTACACAGTCATACTTATCGTCCTCTGAAATTTTACCGCTATTACTGAAATCGCACTTCTGAAATTTTACCGCTATTACTGAAATCGTACTTCTGAAATTTTACCGCTATTACTGAAATCGTACTTCTGAAATTTTACCGCTATTACTGAAATCGTACTTCTGAAATTTTACGTGAACTCCGTAAACATGCATATAGGGTTTTATATTTTTTGATATGCTATATAATTATAAAAGCACCATTATTCAATCAAAATTATTAACATATTTAACAAGTATTCGCCGAAGGCGAGGTGATTATCGGGGAATATTCGCCGAGACGAAGTCGAGGTGAATATTCCCCGATAATCACCGAGAGTGTTCTTTGGGACTGAATCAGTATTTTAATTTCGCTTATTTCTTTATCAGTAACTTCCACAAAACGGCTAGCCGCCATTTTGAAAATTTCGTTTTTGTTATATTCACCTATAGGTGAATATAATTAACAGCTTAATACGTCAAATTTGACCAATCAACTTGTATAGGATTTGTTATGTTCACTTGTGCAAAAATACTAAAGCTGTAAGTTCAATAATGCACGTACTCTTCTTTATGAATTACACTGTTGGTACGCTGTATATACAGTGTTTGTACTGAATGTAATCCATAGCATCTATTAAGAATCTGTTCATATGGGACGAGAACCCGATACTCGGTTTGGGCGAGATTCAGCGTTTGCTATTACTTTCTATTAAATTTCATCATGCGTTTGTACATTAAAGCGTACGGGACTTTTGGACATTTAATTCAACTTTTTTGGATTGTTTTCGGATATTTTAAGATTTGAGCGGATTTTTAAAATTGGATTTTGACAGATATAATTAATTTTCCAAATTGTACCAGATCTTTTCCAGATTATTAGGGGAATTTTTTTCAGACTGTACTGGTTTTTTGGAGTGAAATACCACTGACACAAATCTAGGCACACAGTGTGCAAACACAGCTACAATATCCAATCACAACAGTGCTCTTTTTAATAGGTATGTTTTCAAATTTTACACACACGACAAAATCCACTTCCCCATGGACGAATGCATCCAAGCGCTGATCGATGAATTCAAGTTCTTTCGAATACCACTGGACATCATAAAAGACTGCTGTTATTCAGAGTTTCATCTGGAGTACGAGAACAACACGAATGCAACGAAGTTGGCTAAACAAAATCGACCTGCACGTCCATCTACCACATCCGCGACCAACTATACTCCTCTTGAAAGATCACCAAATTATGCCAGTTGGTTTCGAGAATTGCTGTTTGGCTCTCCAACGAGAGAGTCAAAAGCTGTGACTCACGTGGTATTACTTTGTGTTGTATTCAATATACTGGGCATGATACTTGAAACTTTACCATGCAGCACCAAATCTGAAAAATGCGGCAAGTTATACGCAAAGTCATTTTTTATATTCGATACAGTTTGCGTTGTTATATTAACTTTGGAATTTGCAGTAACACTGGCAAAAGCGCCGAAGAGAAAGGAATACTTTTGTCGTGTACCAAATGTCACGTATTTTGTATCGCTTGTACCAGCTTATATCACGTGGTTCTTGTATATTGTTCTCGGATTTAGAAACATTCCTGAACCTCTGGACGACATGTTTAAAGCGCTGAGGGTGTTTCGTATTGTCAAGATTGCTAATTCTTCTTCGCGTTTGTGCGAGACTGTTGCTCAAATTGTGTCAGCCGCGCGAGGTCTGGGACTGATCCTGCTGACGTGTATTATTGCTATAATAGTTCTGTCAGTATTGTTATATCATCTCGACGATTCATGCCTGCATGTGCCTATGGGAATGTGGTATTTTGTGGTCACCATGACGTCACTGGGGTAAGTGAACAAAACCTGAATAATACATATGTGAGCCGGTTAGTAGGGCTATGCTTCAAACCGTGGAATTGGTAAGTATCAAAGAACAGCTGGTAAATTTTTAAGCGAAACACAAGTTAAAGTTCTGTGTTGAATAAACAAACAATACTGTGCTTTTGGAAAACTGTGACATCAATATAATTTAAATGAACGTTCCACGAACTAAACGTACTATTTTCCACAACCAATGCATGTTTACTTTAATATTTAATGGCTGCATGATAACAATTATTGACAATGTCAGACGACTTTGCCTTAAATGCAGAATATTACATGCAGTTTAAGGCTACTTTTTACAAGTTGCTGCAGGTTGCATTAAATCTATTGCACATAGAAACGTGAAAGTTTGGACCGCGTGTAACAGCGTATACGATTTATCCTATATCAATTTAATTAAAAATTTATCTAGATATGGAGACTACGTCCCAGTCGCATCCTCAGGAAAACTTCTTGGTGCTATTGGGGTGCTTCTCGGAATACTTGTTGTTTCTTTGCCTGTTCCAATTATACAAAACAAGGTGAGTGAATTATTCCCATAAAGCTACATTTTGACACCACACGCTGCAATTTATAATCCTAAAATGTACTGCTAATCCTCTGTTAAGTATCTTCTACGATCAAGTAAGCAAGAGGGTGTGTGTTATATATAATCATCCTGATATTTGTATCTGGGAGCTAAGCCGATTTGCGAAGGACGCAGATCAACCTGAGCGAGACGATAGCTAGCTGTCTCAGGGAATCTATGAGTCATTTCTGATTACGGAGCACATCTAAGGCGGAAGGATCAGTTTGGGGCTTATTCCCAACCATCGTGTCAATAGCCCCAGCGGGAGGGAACAAAAATACCAGGCGGTATACCAGGAGAAAACCCATGAATTTCGGTAGAGTGTCCGAAGCGAGAATAGAACTCGCGATCTTGGCAGTGAAGGGCTTGCTCTGACAATTGCGCACCACCAAAACCCAACCGGCCGAATCAACCTCCACTTCATCCCGATACTCAGATTTTCTATGTATCTGCCAGAACTCCAATCGGTCGGCCTATAAGAAACGTGAAGCCAAGATGGCGGAAATGGACGATCAAAATCTGCGATTGTCGTAAACAGTCGTCATTACCATTGTTCCTGCTAATTCTAGTTTTTACTAGGGATCGTATCGTTAGTATAGGTAATAGCATGGTTTCGAGTGCAATTTGGATATAACATGCACGAGTGAGTTTTTGAAAGACCTCAAAATAGCACGAGTCCGAAGGACGAGTGCTATTTGAGGTCTTGGAAGAACTCACGAGTGCATGTTTATCCAAATTTCACGAGAAACCATGCTATTACTTATTAATAATTTACATAAAAATGTTCGAGACAATTGTAGTTTTAACTTACGCGTTTATAGCGAACATTCCACTGGCAAAGTTTTCCTGGCCAAATTATATCACATTATACAACGCTAACAGCTTGAAAATTCCACTCAACTATGTAATTTTTGTTAGTGTTGTTTAAGGTAAATGCTTTTCCATTTAAAAATAAAGATAAAAGCCATATTTTCCACGCGAAGGCAACTTTTACTTTGTGTAGCGCGGCGCCATGTTTGTTTTGTTTTCAAGCAATCTGCGGCCGTTACTTCTTTTAAACTAAATTGCTTTAAACTGATTTGTTGACTTAATCATCACAATGTTTTTCCACCAATCAGATCAGTTTGTTACAGATTTTTGCACTGTGATTACAGAAAATTGCACTGTGATTACAAAAAATTGCACTGTGATTACAGAAAATTGCACTGTGATTACAGAAAATTGCACTGCTGTTTGGGATTAACTGCACTGAAATCAACCAATCACAGTCGAGTAATATCTTTATGTATATTATTAATGAAGTTATCAGTATACGATAGCATGATATTATTCTTTAATCGAAGTAAAACCACGAAATTTCGCCATTGCGGCATACCTCTTGTACGTTTGTGTCAACGCGGAGCGGACAAAACAATAGAAAGGGACTGGAACTGAGCGTGAATTTCCGCCAATTTTCACCCTAGTTCTTGCCCAAGAAATAAATGGAGCTCACTAAGAGCTCCTCCTTGAAACTACTGGAAGTGAGGACCCCGAAGACTCCGTTTGCCTTCGCCTAATAATACCCCTCAGCTATAGTTAGCTACCTCCTGGAACAAATCTATTAAAGTACCTCCTCTTTAGAGAAAAAAATATATGCCGTTGTATAACCGAGAAATTAGGGACATTAAGATTGAGTATCGTGTACGGCAGACTGCCAACCACAATTAAATAATGGCAAACTACAACTAGCTTTACAAAATTAGAGTCATTTCTGCATTAAATATGAGTTATCTACTTAGCTTTCAAACAGTGGCAGATCTTACCTTCGAATGCGACTTGAGGTTTGCACTTTGCGGTTAGCGGTGCGGCACAAACGTCAATTTCAAGATCTCCTTTTCTCCATTACTCTTTTACGGGAACTTAACTTTGGGAATAAATTCAGCACACGGTAACTGATGGTATATACACTGTTAATTTCAAGGAGTTATTTTAACTCCACCATAGGAGTTAAAACTACTCAACTCGGGAGAGTAAAAATTGTGGAGTAAAATCTACTCCCAAAATAGAGTTAAAACTACTCCACTTCGGCGCGCATTCTACAATTTACTCCATCAGGAGTCAATTTAACTCCGTTGGAGGAGTAAACTAAACTCGCTTTTAGGAGTAGAAATTATGGAGTAATTTGTACTCCTTAATTTTACTCCAGGGGTCGTTTCAACTCCCAAAAAAGAGTAAAATTGTTGTGGACTGGAGTAAATTATTACAATATATAATTAATGTGCCTGAGAATCCAAGAGTTTTTCTGCTGGAGGCTATACTCTATTATAGTATTGAATACAGTCAGATGCGAAAAGCACGAAGTTCGAGATATAAAGTCTTTTTTTTTAATTTTACGTTTTTGGTTACTCGAATGTTGCTAAGTCAGATTGATGCCATTGATGTATTATACTGTATATCGGCTTCCGTCGCACGCGGCGATCGAATGTAGCCAGAAATTGCCGTCAGCGAGTCATCTATATTTTTTTATTTGCTGCCTAAATCTGTAATTTGAACGTGTGGAATGTTCTGCTGCTGAATTCTGTTGAATATAATTTGCGACAAGTGGAAGTTGCAGATTTTCAACCAATTAGCATGCTTAGAATATATCACGTGTTGTAGTAATTCGATCTAGTTCACACAAAGACCAAGCGCCAAGTTCAATCCTTCGAGAGCAAACATTCAAAGGGAATGATATTTATTCAAATTTTCTACTTATAAAGTTCCAAAGACCTAATAAGATACATGGAATTTGTTTTCAAAGGTATGTTTATTGTGTATTTACTTATTTGTGTGCGGAAAGTTACTTGATATACTGTATAGTTATATTTTTAAATCGAAGACGAAGGCTTGTATTTTAGTCGCTTCGCCGCCGATTTGCCGATCTAGACGTTCAGTTTTAATTTTCGATTAATTTGTATTAGCAGAAGTCCATAAGTCTAATCTACAGTCTCTACTTATTTGTGTTGTTAGCCCCGTTTACACCAGCAAATTTTATTTGACAAATTTCATTTCATCAAAAGCATTTGTTGTTCAAATAAATTTGTCACAAATTTATCATCTACACGAGCAAAATATCTCTGACATATGAAATTTGTCAAATAAAATTTGCTCGTGTAAACGGGGCTTTGTGTGATATACATGTATGTTGTATTTCGTGTTAAATATGTATACTTTAATTAATATATATGTGATCTGTTTGAAATGCAGTCACATTTGACAGCATTGCAATAGCCCATCCCATTTAATATTACCCAGTGTATGGCTTGTGCTTGCTATGGTAGCCCTCCTATCCGCTATCAGTCAGCCTAAAACATGTGTAAGGGGCTGCTTATATAGAGGCGAGCCACCCAGGTAACCTGGCTATAGCTCGCTTTCCCTGGATGAATGTCTGGTTACATGAGCCTCTTTAGATGGGCAGGCTTGCCAAAACAAATCACCCAGACCGAGTTATATAGTACAAGCACATTTCCCAATAAAGTGAACCAACAAGTGATCAATCACTCATACTTTTGCAGACAGTCTCGAAATGTATAAACTGACAAAAACAATCACAGAGATCTTTTTACCCAGCTGGGCCCAGGGGTAATACCGTGCCAAATTGTGGGTGATTGTATATAATTTATATGGAAAATCCTAGCTTGGCATTAGCAAGATTTTGGGACAATGAATTTTGGGTCAATTATGCACTTCTATTTTAAACACCCTTTACCAGAAAAGTTGTATTTATTTGGATGATGTTAGTTCAATTGCATGCTTACATTAAATGAGTAAAAGCATTTGAATTTTGTATTTCTTGCTTTGTATATATGCAAACAACCAAAAATAGCAAATTCATTGTCAATCAATCAATAATTTTTATTTTGTGTGTGTTGGTGTTATAAAATGTACTCAGGTGAATATATGATGTTTGTGATGTTACTGTGAGCAAGCTGAAAAGTTAGCTTGGCCACAGTGGGAATCGAAAGGTCTGTGACCGTGGCCAAGCTAACTTTTCAGCTTGCCCAGTGTGGATGCACACTCAGAGAGAGAGTCAGTGGCGTAGCCAGCCCGACAATTTAGTCCCGCTATGCAAATTCAAAATTATTATCATTATTCATTTCTTTAGAAATTGATTGTTTTCACAGTCAATGAACATGAAAATATTTGCATAGCGGGACCAAATAGTCGGGCTGGCTACGCTACTGGTGAGAGTAACATCACAAACATCATATATTCACCTGAGTACATGACACCAACACACACAAAATAATCTTATCATTGAAATATACCCCTGTAGACTGATATCGAAGGAACTAGACTCAGTTCCAAAATATCATCAACTCGAACAGACTTGACCATGTAGCTCAGTTGGCAGAGCATTGGACTAGTATCCCAAAGGCCGCAGGTTCGATTCCCACCGTGCCCAAACTAACTTTTCAGCTTGGCCGGGGTGGATGCACACTCAGAGTAACATCACAAACATCAATCAATAATTTGCTGCTGTTATATATCAACCTTATATATTTTTTTCTTACTAGGGATTCTCATTAATATATGGATTTAACAAAAGCTTCCCAGGAGAAGGCAAGTTGTCAAAACAAGTGGTATTATATGTAATCATTAATGGCATTCTAAGAACTTCATGGTCTATTTGGAAAATGTTATTCTTTTGCTGGAGAGCATTTTTGTGAATTACCAAACCATGCAAGGGATGGAGTTGCCGACTTGTGGTATGCAGCTTGTTTTGTACTAAATTTTTACTAATGGACTTGCTTGACATGTTTGATTGAGAAGTGACACTACATACATTTAATACATGCAGTATATTTTACTTGTAAAGATTCTACATTGAACAGAATATTAACCCTTTAAGTGGCAATTTGCTTTACTTTTTTATTTTTTCTGTCAAATGTGGTCAGACAATTTTTGCTCATTAAGGAGAGTGCTGCCACTTAA